TGGCAACCTAGGGCTGGTAGCCTATAAGCCTAAGCTAAGTCTATCTAGCAACGTGGCAACCTGGGGCTGGTAGCCTGTTAGCCTAAGCTAAGTCTATCTAGCAACGTGGCAAACTGGGGCTGGTAGCCTGTAAGCCTAAGCTAAGTCTGTCTAGAAACGTGGCAACCTGGGGCTGGTATCCTGTTAGCCTGAGCTAAGTCTATCTAGCAACGTGGCAATCTGGGGCTGGTAGCCTGTAAGCCTAAGCTAAGTCTATCTAGCAACGTGGCAACCTGGGGCTGGTAGCCTATAAGCCTAAGCTAAGTCTATCTAGTAACGTGGCAACCTGGGGCTGGTAGCCTGTTAGCCTAAGTTAAATCTATCTAGCAACGTGGCATCCTGGGGCTGGTAGCCTATAAAGCCTTAGCTAAGTCTATCTAGCAACGTGGCATCCTGGGGCTGGTAGCCTGTTAGCCTAAGCTAAGTCTATCTAGCAACGTGGCAACCTGGGGCTGGTAGCCTGTTAGCCTAAGTTAAATCTATCTAGCATCGTGGCAACCTGGGGCTGGTAGCCTATAAGCCTAAGCTATGTCTATCTAGCAACGTGGCAACCTGGGGCTGGTAGCCTGTAAGCCTAAGCTAAGTCTATCTAGTAACGTGGCAACCTGGGGCTGCTAGCCTATAAGCCTAAGCTAAGTCTATCTAGCAACGTGGCAACCTGGGGCTGGTAGCCTGTTAGCCTAAGTTAAAACCTAGCAACTGGCAATCTGGGACTGGTAGCCTGTTAGCCTAAGTCTATCTAGCAAAACCTGGGGCTAGCCTATAAGCCTAAGCTAAGCTAGTAACGTGGCAACCTGGGGCTGGAGCTGTTGGTACAACGTGGCAACCTGGGGCTGGTAGCCTGTTAGCTAAGTTAAAGTCTATCTAGCAACGTGGCATCCTGGGGCTGGTAGCCTATAAGCCTAAGCTATGTCTACCTAGCAACGTGGCATCTTGGGGAAGGAGCCTTTAAGCATAAACTAAGTTTGTGATTGTTTTTCGAATATAAATTTTTGTACACAACAATTCAGTCTACAATGAATTCAAACAAGCCTTTCCTGGATGATCTTGGTTCTCAATTGTTATACTACATATGTGAATATCTGGAATCTATGTAAATAAGCTTCACTTTATAATGTCAGTACATCCGAAGCGTATTTTTTCAAAATAACAGACATCTTTAAATGATTCTTTAATATGCATCCACCCGAAACAGTTGCAAGAGATACTTCATTGTTGCAATGAATATTACATATATCATTTTAAACATTTTAGCAGATTTTCCTTTTTTCGCTCGAGGGGCGTCCGTGGCCGAGTTGTTGTGGTCGTTGACTTCAAACCACTTGTCCCTCAACGGTGGGGTTTCGAATCCCGACAGGGACTTTCGATTCTTACATGTGAGGAAGCTATCCAGCTAGCTTACGGAACGTCGGAAGTTCTACTCAGGTGCCCGTTCGTGCCTGAAATTATGCACGGAAAGGCACCTGAGGTCTTCCTCTACTAGTTAAGCTGGAACGTCGCGATATGACCTATACTGCGTCGATGTGACGTAAAACCCAATGAAACAAAAAACAAATTTTGGCTCGAGCTTTCATGTAAGCCCGTATTTTAGCACTTTTAACTGAGCGTTTATCTGCAAAATTATACATGAAGTTATTCGTGTAAGGAATTTTTAAATGTGATAAGATTCCTAATCTGTTTATTACAGACACACAATTTTGGTATCATTTGAAAGCAGATGCTCTGAAGCATAGCACAAATTACACAAACACAAAAATCACGGGCTAAATAAGAAAATATACTTCACATTGCATAAAATATTAAGAAACTCTCGAATGTTTACCATACCTTTAATCACCTAGAATAAGGTTTCAGACTTCAAAGTTTAGCGTTTTATATTCGATTAAAAGCATGCCAAGCAATTTAACATGTAAAGAAGAAACACATTTATGTAAGGAATTATATTGTGTGATCGGAAAGCCTATTTTGCGACGGACTTCTTGCAGGCAGACAGACCGGAAAGTAAACTTGTCTATCATTCAGATGACTCGAGACGAATGACACGAAAGAATATAGTATACACTACACATGTTTGGTCTAATTTTCTATGCAAAACATTTTCGAACATGTTTAAATATTTCAATTTCAATGTTGTAGGATAAGGAGAAACATTTACTGATGGCTTGAAGTTTTGGAGACGAAGAGATATTCGAAATATGTTTTCTTTTCACCATCCCATATACACTGTTAGAAAAAGTTTGACAACGACTACAGTAATATTATAGTTAACCAACATATATACACATAAAAAGTAAAATATAGAAACTTGTTAAGAAAAAAGTGGTTGAAATACTTAAGGTGTGAAATTGATTAAATACAGAATTTATTGACAAAATTGTACAATAAAAGAAAAACCCTAACGATCGGCTGTTATAAACATTCTTTACATTTAACAATTGTAGTTGTACGAAAAAGCTGGCAATGTCCAATTACATTGACCTTATTGTTATTAGAAAAGTTCAGGGTTATTTGTTAATTTCTGAATCACTAGCAGAATACAAAGAGGGGACTATATCTGATAAAGACAGGAAACGTTTGTATAAAAAAGTATTTGTAAAATTAAGTGTTCTATGTCAACTTTACAGCCTATAGCTACATGACAAGGTTTTCATACAAACATGTCATTGTTTTTTATGCTGAGTAGGATATTTCTTCCTATAGATAGGTGTTGTATTATGGTACGTCGCATTCAGTGCTTTCAGCACTTTGATTCTACTATAACTGTGACCATTTATACCTCTGACCAGCGCGGGCTAAGGGTATGACCATAAAGGTAAGAACATAAATTTAAAATACGGGAACGGTCGAAAATGCAATCTTATCATATTCTAAGCACATAAGAAGCAAGACTTTGGTTTTTGAAATAACTTTAACACTAGGCAATAAGCATCGTTGTGAGATTTAAATTTCTTTGGAATGTTAAAAATGAAGGTTTCCTCATGGTGTTTACAGGATGGTGATAGAGCATTTATAGTGTCCAAGCATGTATAGTGATTTAGCATGTACAGAAATCAGCATGTAAAGTGACCAAGCATGTATAGTGATTTAGCATGTACAGAAATCAACCTGTATAGTGGCCAAGCATGTATAGCGGGCAAGCATATATAGGGGCCAAGCATGAATAGGGATTTATCATGTATAGGTTACATTACCAACATATTTATATGAGAGAAAAGTAATGGCAGGAAGTTTTTCGAAGTGGAGATACTAAAAGCTTCCGGAAATGATCGATGATCTGCAAAATAAAATTATTTGTGTCATTACCTTCTGAACGAGATCTGGAAATAAGCTCATGTGCATGTATTTCTAAAAAAAAAAAAGAAAAACCGAAAATATATAAAATATTACCGCTCTAATAATCAAGTTAAACTCTTTACTTCGTCAAGGATTTTACCTCCTTACTGTACCCTCACACTGCTGATTTAATGTTTTAAAAAAGCAGTGCTGGAGTTTCAATTTCCCCTCCACGTCTGTGCAGGCTGGTTTTGCATATAATCATATGCCGAATAGAATCTATTTCTATCATACCCCCGACATTCGACAATACAATAAAAAGTATAAAAAGGTAAAGCAAGAACTACCCCAACCCCCTCTACCGCCCCCAAAAAAGAAAATAAATAAATTAATAAAAACAAAAATCAATAACAAAAACAACAACAACAAAACCAATAACAACAACAGAAAATTAAGACTCTATTGAACGAAAATGTGTAATATGCATGTAATAATTGAAATGAAGTTATAAAATTCATGTGTTCTTTAAATTAGAAATTAACGAAAATATGAAACATTTAAAAGATTTATGTCATATCTTTTGAACTAAAGCAGTCCTTCATTGTAAACATATCGTATTACTAAGCTTTGCTAAACTAAACAAACTTAACACAAGTTGCACATCAGAGACGTCGCCAAATGATGTGTTCAGTCACAGCTAATGTACAAAATCAGAATTGAAAATCGTTCTATTTCACAGCTGAATATCCGAAGAATTTATTATTTTTTTCTCCATGTTCTTGGTATGTGTCTGAAATACTGAAATGTTTGTCTGTTGCAACAAAAATTGGAACCTCTGGTCGAAGAGAAATAAATTGTATAACAAGTGAAATTGAAATGATTGGTAAAATTTAAACAAATTGAAGACAATATGTAACGAGAATATGGCAGGCCATTGAAATATTGGTTCGAATTGCATAATGTTCGAATGATTTTGAGGACGAACTGTCTGTTATTTTACCAATAGCGAACCGCCTCTCTGATAGTGGGCGTGGTTTAGGCTTTGTTTACTTGTAATTTAATAATTTCGTCAGTTATATTGATCATAATTGTCTGGTTTCCTCCCCCACCCCCACCCCGTCAACGAAGACGGAGGCGTTATATTGATCATAATTGTCCTGGTTTCCTCCCCCACCCCCCCCACCCCCGTCAACGAAGACGGAGGCGAACTTCAACAGAGGCGGAGCAAATGAAGTGAGTGGCACTGCTTCAGTAGTTACCTCTCTCAACGGTAAAGTTTTAGAACAATCGACTAAAGACTGGCTCATTGGCACGTTATTTATTAGGTAGATTAAATTACTTATAAAAAGAATATGATATTCAAACATGTTACTATCACTTCACTTAAACGTTTATTTTAATCTATTAAAGCTCTGTGACATGTTGTACATCAGAAAAGCTATTTTTATTTGAAAATTTGAAAACAAAGTGATTTTGATAAAACAAAAAAGAAAAAAAATAAACAAAATCAAATAAAGAATTTTTCCCATTGCTATACAGACAAATGCATGTCTACTAGACAGCGCGTGCCCGCGCCGTCTAATAATTAAGTCACGTGAATAGAGATGGTGTAACCTTCACGGTAAATAGAAAACAAAAAACTGTCAAATATCGCCATTTCAAAATATGTAACGAGAAGAAGGAATTATAAATAATACTCTAGTGATTCAGACATAATAAATTATACTGAAGTGAGATCGAATCTTGTTCGGAATAAAGCTTCAAAATGAGGTGAGTGTTTAAATTATAAATTTTGTGTATTTGACTGCATTATACATTTATTATATGGATTATTGAGTTTATATGTATCTGTTTATAAATACAGGCCCATTAAGCTCCTGAAATGTTTTGGGTTTTTTTATTTCTCAATAGCTGTTAAATTTTAGCGTGCTGTTACACTTCACTGGCCATTTTACTTAACCGTGTTTTGCTTCTTTCACTTTTTGCTAAATATTAGTTTAATAGTATTAATTTTGTATTGAAGTCAAAATACTTGCCTTACATTGTTTACACTTTGCTACATTTCACATTAGCACTACTTTCTGTACTACTTTTTATCGTGATAATATAATTGAACCGTGTCACGACAAAACCAACATAATGGGTTTGCGACCAGCATGGATCCAGACCAGCCTGCGCATCCGCTGTTATTTGTTCTCGAAACATTGAGGTATGTAACACCGCACTTTGGGGTCAAACGCACTTTGGGGTCGAACCCCAAAGTGCGTTACGCACTTTGGGGTCGGACCCCATAGTGCGTTACGCACTTTGGGGTCTAATTTCGACCCCAAAGTGCGTTAAACAGGTACATATGCATTTTTCAACATCAGGCAAACGACCGCACTTTGGGGTCAGAGAAAATTTATGTTCATTATGTTTTAAATAATATAGTGTAGTCAAAGCCAATGGTAAACAAAAATCAAGGTATTAAATAGACACAAAACATGTGCCCCGAATCAATAGGGATTTAAATGGTCTTGATTAGTAAGTGAAGAACTTTCACAAAATAAATCACCAAAAAAAGAATGTGTATCAATGCAGCACGCCTCCAGATTCACGCTAATTTTCATGAAAATTTTGAAAATTTATTTGAATGTATAATATTGTGGAATAACCAAAAGGAAGCAATTTGCACATTATCAATGGCACTTATAACTAACGTAAATTACCAAAAAGTTGTCAAAATATGCATAAATAGCCCTTAATGCGTTAGTAACGCAGTAGGAATATAGTTGTAAATATTGAAAACTCAGTCATTGACCGCACATAACATGTAAAATATTACTTGAATCTTGAATCATTTTACATTTCCTATAATCGTAGTACATATTTCTCAAGTTTGATTTAATTGAAATATTTTGACTCATCTGGAGGCATGCAGCTTTAAGCTTAAAATATGTTTTTCTAAAATTTTCCATTTATTTTAAATTAATGTACACCTTTCATTAACTCCATTGTTTTTTGCTAAATGCATCATTTTCCCAGGCAGTCAAAAAATATCAACTATTTAAGTAGTCGCACATTAAGAGCGAGCTTCAGAATAATGTAAAATTCTCACTGGGGGTATAGAGGGGATTGTGGGGTATCGATCTCCCCGAGGTTTAAAAATAACATTTTAAAGGCCCATTATGCTTTTATTTGTTTTTCTTCAGCTTTTTTATTTTGATGTTCTTTTATATTATCAAAAAAATACACATTGGCCAATTACCTGAACCATCTTTTTCATCTGTTGCTTTTTGACAATGATGAGTACAGTACTGTTATAGTGATAAGTAGTTTACATGTTTTATATGGAAGTCAAATACTACATTGTTTTGACTACTTTTATGACAAATAATTTCACATTTATCGCTACTTTATTCAGGTAACAAGCATCTTACATTTCTTTGATACCTTTATTTGAACATTATAAAATTCATCTTTCTAAAGAAGTATGTAAGATTTCCCATTAAAAAAAGCATCTGGCGAACGGTTGTTACGGAGGGGGAAAAATATTAACTGCATTTTATTTCATTCCTTACATAATTAAAATGGAGCTCAACATGGCACCAAAAGTTATCAAGTAAATGACTGACAGAACGGGATATTTTTCGCAGCATCTTTAAACTTTAGGAATACACGATTTCTGTACTAAAATATTTTGAACGGTGTCAAAAAAAGTGACATTTGCAACTTTTTTTTTGTTTTTGATACTTTTTTTTTGTCATACATTTTTTTTTAGTTTTGAATACATACTTTTTTTTAGTTTTGCATACATATTCTTTTTAAGTTTTGCATACATATTCTTTTTAAGTTTTGCATACATATTTTATTTTAGTTTTGCATACATATTTTATTTGAGTTTTGGTACATATTTTATTTTTGTTTTGTTTTTTACTTTTTTTCGTACATAATTTTACATGACGTTCATTTGCAAAGTAGAGGTTTGAATAATTACGCCATTTGTAAAAATACCATTTTCAAACACTTCGCCATCTGTAAATTACAGTACCCCATTTGCAAACGCCATTTGCAAATACCAACATTTTTCATTTTTGGAGGTATCAAAAAGATATAACACTTTTAGTATATATATATATATATATATATATATATATATATATATATATATATATATATATATTATATATATATATATATATATATATATATATATATACAGTCACATTCCTCCATTTACGGGGCATCGGTCTATTTGAGACCATACTTGTGGGGTTTATATTTAATGTGGGGCATACAGAAGGCCTCGCAACTCTGGCATGTTTAAAACGATGTATGGGGGCGTAGGCTACCCTTCTAACATAGTGCCCGTAGGCCGGTTTTAGTAGTAAATGATATATGTCCCACAAATGTATATATTTTTAATGGGGTTCTATGTTATTGGTCAATATGTTTTCACCTATGGTAAAATTAAATATATAGTTGATATATATAACTTAGTACCCCTTAGTTCTGTTGTTTGGAAATGTCATTATATGCCTACATAGTGGCATATATAAAAACTGACTGCATGAAATAATGCCACTCAACTCGGTCTTATAAATAGGCCCCGTAAGTGAAGATATGTGTGAATATATATATATACATACATACATACATACACTTACATATATATATATATATACAGTCACATTCCTCCATTTACGGGGCATCGGTCTATTTGAGACCATACTTGTGGGATTTATATTTAATGTGGGGCATACAGAAGGCCTCGCAACTCTGGCATGTTTAAAACGATGTATGGGGGCGTAGGCTACCCTTCTAACATAGTGCCCGTAGGCCGGTTTTAGTAGTAAATGATATATGTACCACAAATGTATATATTTTTAATGGGGTTTTATGTTATTGGTCAATATGTTTTCACCTACGGTAAAATTAAATATATAGTTGATATATATAACTTAGTACCCCTTAGTTCTGTTGTTTGGAAATGTCATTATATGCCTACATAGTGGCATATATAAAAACTGACTGCAAGAAATAATGCCACTCAACTCGGTCTTATAAATAGGCCCCATGTATATGTATATACATGTATATATATATTTTTTTCTAAATCAGTGGAATATAAGGACCTATTTAGATCTTTTATTGTGCATTATTGTACTTAATAGAGAAAATTTGATTAATAATAGACGATTGTATAGATTAGCTAAGAGGAGAGCAAAGAAAAAATATCATTTAGCTCAAAAGAATAAATGCATAATTTATCAAAAACTTCTCCGTAATTGTTTTGGAAGGAAATAAAAAAGTTTAGAAAGAAAAGTCCCGATTGTAAAATGTCGAGTGAAACGTTTTTTAACCATTTTAAGAATTTATTTAATAGCCAAAATGTATTTTCAAATGATGATGTTGAACAGTGTATTAATAGTGATGATGTTATATTACAACAAGTTGATATGCTAGATGAAGAAATTACAATAGAGGAGGTATCTAAGGCTATTTCTTCGCTAAATTGGAATAAAAGTGGTGGTTATGACTTACTTTTACCAGAAATATTTATTGGAAGTAATGATTTATTATCTCCAATTTTAAGTAAAATTTTTAATCATATTTTTACAAGTGGATCTTATCCAACCTCATGGAATAAAGCAATCATTGTACCTGTCCCGAAAAAAGGGGATCCCGGTGAAGTAAATAATTATAGGGGTATTGCGCTTACAAGTATTTTTTCAAAAAATTTCTCAGTAATCCTAGATAATAGACTTCGAAAATGGTCAGAGGTCAATAATTTCTTAACAGATAATCAGTATGGATTCAGGAATAGTAGAAGTACTATTGACTGCATATTTGTACTAAATTCTATCATTGATAAGATTATTAAACGTGATAAAAAGAAATTGTATACTGCATTTGTAGATTTCCGCAAGGCATTTGATTTAACATATAGAAATGGTATTTGGTTCAAATTAATTGACACTGGTGTCTCAAGTAAAATGTTAAAAATTCTAAGAAGCATGTATGAGGGTGTGAAATTATGTGTACGTAATAATGGCTCACTAACTGATTTTTTTGATAGTTACATGGGCTTGAAGCAAGGGGAGCCATTATCTCCCTTTTTGTTTATTATGTTTATTAATGATATGCAAGATCACTTAGCTGACGATAGTATATATGTTTTTACCATTGAGGAATTACAAATTTATTTGTTGTTGTTCGCAGATGATACTGCTTTATTTTCTTACTCTGAACAAGGTTTACAAATTCTACTTAATAAAATGTATAATTATTGTAGGAAATGGGGTATTGAAGTTAATTCAGATAAAACAGTTGTAATGGTTTTTAGACAAGGTAATAGACCTTCAAATATATCGCTTACGTATGACAATAAAATTTTAAAACAAGTTAAAACATTTACTTATTTAGGAGTAACGCTATCATCTAATGGAAGTTTTTATCAAGCTCAAAAATCATTGTCTGCCCAAGCTTTAAATGCTCTTTATTCTTTGAACTCCCTTTTTGATAATGTTAATTTAGATATTGAAGATAAATTTAAACTCTTTAATTCAATGGTATTACCAATTTTATGTTACGGGTCTGAAATATGGGGTTTCCATAAATCTCCGGACATAGAACGTGTATACTTAAAGTTTCTCAAACAAATACTTGGTGTTAATCAGCAAACATGCAGTACTGTAGTTTATGGAGAATTTGGTGTATTTCCTTTATATATAGTACGTAAAATTAGAATAATTAAGTTTTGGTATAAGATTAAAAATATGCCTGACTCAACTATGTATAAATTAATGATGTTGCAGGGACGAAATAATACATTGTTAAATAGTTGGTCATGTAATGTAAAAAAGTTATTAGATGACCTTGGTTTTTCTTACCTGTGGAATTGTGATAGAATATCTGAAATGAATGTTAAATTAATTATTCAAAGAATCCATGATCAATATTTACAACAATGGTTATCTGAATTAGACTCATCTTCTAAATTAGATTATTATAGAGAATTTAAGTTAAACTTTATTCAAGCTAGTTATTTAAATACTGTTAATGTTGAGGCACATATGAAATCACTAGCGAGATTTAGATGTTCATCACACAACTTAGAGATTGAAGAAGGTCGATATAGGAATATTATTAGAAGCGAAAGATTATGTAGAAGATGTAATATGAATCAAGTTGAATCAGAGTATCATTTTTTGTTAATATGTCCTTTTTATAGAGAATTACGTTTAACTCTTTTAGATAATTATTATTACACATGGCCTAATATGAATAAATTCAATAAGCTTATGTCAACAACCAAAAGATCTGTTATAATAAAACTTGCAAAATTTGTCTATCTGGCTTTAAAGAAGAGAAACGAGAGTGTTGTTGTATAATAAAATATGTATTTCTTTAAACTATTTTTCATATTTATGCTGTATATTATTATATATGTTAAATATGACATGTCTTGTATTGTATGTGTTTATGTGTACTTAAAACTGCCCATCTTTAGTTAAAACATGAACATGAAACATGAACTAAATATTTTCATACTTTTCAATATTATATTACTTTTGTTAACATAACCGCCAATTATGTGTGGCGAAAAACATGTATATATGTTTATGCTAATAAATACTTTGACTTGACTTGTAATACACCATCATTTGTAACCACCTCCCTTGCCCCCGGGGGAGTGCGGGTTAAAAAAGAATCGTGTGATGTCTGCACTGTTCCGGGGCATAAGGCAGGAATGTTATTATCTGAATATCCCCGCAGGGCGAAGATTTTACCAGTGGTCGGCTTGGTTTAAAGTCAATGCCCCTCCCCCCGCTATACTCAGGGGGTGGGGTTGAGAGGTGCATATTTATTCACCAATCAACAGCCCTTTCCAAATAGACACTAATATAATAGTAGATAATAATTTTAAAAAAATACACTAATTATATTAAAAAAAAATATGAATGCAAAACTGAAAAAAAAATATGTATGCAAAACTTAAATAAAAATATGTATGCAAAACTTAAATAAAAATAAATGCAAATGTCACTTTTATGCCACCGTAATTTTGTTATATGAACAAATTATTATTATTATTATTGGATATTTTAAGTGGTAAAATTAATGAAACTTTTATCACTTAAGCATCATCAAAGTATTGACCGCCATCTTGAACTCCACCTCAAATAGTTCAATGTCGAAGATCGAAAATAAGTCAGTTCTCAGTATTTAAGCAGAACTCAGATTACACCTTTAGACCTCTGGAACCCAAAATGCGTTGATATGTAGCATATTAACGCACTTTGGGGTCAATTTCTCGATTTTGACCCCAAAGTGCGTTTGACCCCAAAGTGCGGTGCGAAGTTTAACGCACTTTGGGGTCGGACCCCAAAGTGCGTTTGACCCCAAAGTGCGGTGTTACAGAGGTACATTGGACATGTATACATATTTAAGTTTACACCGTTATTTACGTAACTGCTAAATATATTTCAAGCTTAAATACGTAAAAGATTAAATAATTATTGGAAAAAACTGCATTCATTTAAAAACGAATTTGTCTTCAATTTTATCAAAAAATTCAATTCTCCTTTAATATACATTTACTATGAAATACATCTAAGTTGCTTTGAAATTCCTAGGCTTACAATTAAAAATAAATAGGTCTTGAATTTTCTCAGAAAATTCTCCTTTAATGTTCATGTATCTGTTATAAGCTCTAAAACCAATTGACATGTAAATTGTTTTGAAATTCTTATGGAAGATTCCCTGACGAGTTAAGTTTAAACATATTAACTTGTGCTTGATTGTAATAGGGTCTTGACGCTTACATGCACGTTTTTCTTACGCTCGCTTCCAGGAACTTAACTTGCCACAAGTTTATAAAACATTTTTTTTTATCAAGTTCTGTCTCTAATCTCAGTTTTTTCATTGGTCAGTGTACAATCAGTGTCAAATTGTGACCAATCAGTTACCTGCGATCTGAGTTTGAACTTATAGATATTATCTCTTGATAACCTTTGAAACAATACTGGTGTCTCACATGGCCATTATTCATGCTGCAGTCATGTAAAGTTACAACAAAAGGCCGACACCCATTTACCACTAGACCAGTGATAATCATTTTCTCGGCGTATTATAGGCTTACGGAAGCACATAGATAACTTGTAGAAGAAGAGGTGGCTTCTGTACATGCCAGAGCAAAGGCACAGTAAGAATGACCGTAGAATTGCAAAACAGATATTTTCTTATTCACTTCACATAATAATACGTCGCCCGGAATACAATTTTATCGTAGAGCTACGATTTTTTAATGATAAAAGTAGAGTGTTCCGGGTAAGATATTCGTTATGGAAGCATGAGAGAAGAAGAAAATAGTCCTCAAATCTACAGTCTGGCCTCACTTCTCAAAAAGAAATGTCACACTACGTAGCATACGTTATTGCACCAGTTATCTCTTGCTATACAAATTCGTGCGCTTTTGGAACAAATAAAACGAATATGGGATTTTTTTTTATAAAATAAAAGCCAAAATTGAGATTCTTTTTTCCCGAAAGTATACTTGCTTTGTAAATATTGTAAGTCACTGTTTGGATTTCCATAACAATACAAAATATATTGTTTCGTGTTCGCATTTAAGTGTTGTCCATACAAGAAAAATCAAATCGACGATATAAAAAGCAGCTTTCCATTTCTTTTTCCAATGGACGCTTCATGATTTGCAGAAATTTGTATCAACAGAGACGCATTTCTACAAATATATTTGGTGTCTATAGTCACATGTCATGCGTCTGTACGACACATACTCCTTAAAGCAGAAAACCCTTATTATATGGATGAATCCGATTTCTAAAAGATAATTTATGATGATTTTGTATTTTCAGGACATTAAATTTAATGTTGTTTTTACTCTGCTGGTGCATCGGTCAAACAGAGACCGCCGTTGAAAACCTTGGGAAAGATATGACAAATTATGATGTAAATGACATCATCAAACTACGGTGTTGTCCTGCAGACGACTGTTATCCGTCACAAGCGGAAGTGGCGTCTTTAAACAACAAGTTGAAAGGCAGAGTAATTGTTCCACACTTTGAGGAATATGTCAACCAATCGCATATGTATAACACATTCGAGCAGAGGTATGACCATTAATATGTTTATATGTTCGCTTGCAGGTTATCGCCTACGTAGAGTATGACCTTCTTTTTTCATCCAATAAAAATATTCGACGGCAGTTAAAATAATTCCACTCTCCATTTCGGGGAGCATACGAGTATACGAAGTAACATTGTTTTAAAGCCATAAGTGCAGGATAGAATGCATAACACTTTTCTGTATTATATAAGGTCAGTTAGAGCAAGTAAATGTTTCACGATTATTAAATGAAAGCCCCTATTTTCTTCTGATAACTATGACGAACCTTTCCTCATTATTATCTAAATAAAAAATCCCGTGCTTCAAAATTTCAATGCAACATGACTGTAACTTATTGCATTAAAGACAAGATACCATAAATTATTTAGTGACAAAGCCTCGACATTGTCTTTTTCTCAGATACCCACGCCTTGTTGTTATGGTGCACTCGAAGGAAGATATCAAAGATACGGTCTTGTTTGCCCGGAAGTACAATTTGCACGTGACAATGAGGAGTTCCGGTCATGACTTTGTTGGCAGATCAACATGGGATGGAAGTATAAACATCAATCTATCTGAAATGAAAGACTACAAAGTTAATCTTGACTCTAGTAGAAGTGATCATGGGGAAGTCAAAGTTCAAACTGGTTTATCTTGGGCGGAGATTTACAAAATGGTAGGTACAGTTCGTTTTGGCAAGTCAGAATCACATTATGAAAAATGTTATTTTTCAATATATTTTGAGTCCTTTTGGCTTAAGCATTCAAATGACATAATATAACACTAACTGGTATTTTTTTCATAAACATCAAAATATTTGTACACTGCTTTGTAGGAGCACATTTGTCTCGGAGCACATTTGTCTCACGAAGTGTGACCGATGTGTTCGTAAACATTCATATTTGCGATAAATTGGAAATGAGACAGATGTGTTCGACACACAATAGAAAGGACACTCGAAGCACATTTTTCTCACATTTTTCCATAAAATTCTTAAAAGGTAATAATTATGCCCATCTGTATACCGGCTACCAGCATTGTTCTGTGTTTTCTTTATCTATAATACAGTTTTAAGGTCACTTCCGGTCAGTCAAAAACTTCCTACCTCTGCATAGGAGTCATATATTAAATTAAAAAATATCCCTGTTCTGCATGTCACAATGAAAATTACTACAAGTGCAGCATGCAGAACCTAACAACATATGCAACAAGTCTATTCTTATCGTTATTCATTGGCATACGTTTATTTTTGCTTAAAGTTTTATAGATGATTAATGGCACTAGGAATATTCTTAGCAAAAACAAGGTAGTATCTACGGTGCCATAAAGGAGACATAAAATTTTCTTATTTATTACGTTCGCACACGATAGCTTTCCCTTACGTGGCCATGCGATACTATTACGTGCGCAACGGATATGTATTCCGCATTTGGACCCTGACCGGGATCCTCGCATGAATAGTTCGACACCCCGTGTATGTGTCGAACCTACAGCGCTTAGGGGCAAGTGGTATTTTGAAATCACTCGGCCACGGAGGCACTTAAATGATCTATGGAAGAAAAAAAGAAGACCATTTCATCAGAAATATATGTATAAAAAATCGTCATTTTCCAAGAATTGCGGCTTTCAGATCCGCCATTGAAAAAACACTTACAACATGCATGAGTTCCTAAAATAATCCAGATAAATCCTTAATAATAATAATTATTATGGAATATCGGGCCACTCAGAATCGGGCGAGACGAGACATTCCGATGAGACACGAAGCGAGGCACGATATTGTCACACGAGATCTCGCAATGTCGAAGTATCCCGTATCACGAGAAATCAGAAATGAATAAATTTTTACTTCTTTAGATAGGGCAAGTATGAATTTATTAAAGGAACTCCACTGAGGTTTATAAGCGTAAAAACATAAAATTTTAATTTCTCGCATAGATCAACATTAGCACTTAAAACAGAAATATAATTAAAATATAATTAAGAAGTATACAAGAAATACATTGAAAATCATAAGTTTGTGCTATTCTCAGTCCGATTTGAGTGAAAAGCGTTTAAACGCTTTTCAATTTTGGGTCATTTTTCACTATTATAATAATTAGTCTGGAAAAACGGAGCAAGCTAATGATATGAAGTTCTGCACATGAGTTATAAGTATAGATCTACATCAAATGAAGTAATAATCTCAAAAAAATATTTCCAGTCCTGTCATATCAAAAAACCTCAGTGGAGTCCCTTTAATATTCAAATAATGATTTCTGAAGTTAGATGCTTGTAACCCAAAGGAATTCGCTATAAATGTGAAATAATGCGTCATAAAAGTAGCAAAATGTAAAAAAGTAGTATTTTGACTTCAATGCAAAATTCTAAATCACTTCAACTGTACAAAATCCAAAAAGCAGCAGATGAAAAAATGTTTTAGGTAATTAGCCAATGAGTAACTTTTTAGAGCTATAAAAATATATCAAATATAAAAAAGCCTTAATTTTGAGGAATACAAATAAAAGCATTTTACAGGCATAATGGGCCTTAAAGTGATTTTATGTAGATTATAAAGGGAATACTACTTAGCGGTATATGACCTGGAACCAATTCTTGTCTCGCGTCGACGAACGAGATGCGAAGCGAGACGCGAGAATTCGGCGAGATGCGAAACGAGTCATTCAGTATCAACCTATTACGGTGTTCCGTTTGGACATCAGTAACATTTTTGTCTCCCTGAACAGCTGTGCACAATGGTACAAAGGTGAAAATGAGCTGGTACGATGGTTACGATGATTAAAACACGATGGCACGATGGTGAAATCACGATGATGCGATGACACGATAAAGAAAATAATATCGCGTTTTCATCATCATACCATCGCAGTTTCATCATATCGTTCCATCGTATTTTCACCATCGTAACATGGTCTTTCACCATAGTACCATCACGTTTTCATCATCGAGCCTTCGTTGTTCCACCATAGAACAATCGTTATTTCAGGTTCGTACCATTGTGTTTTCACCATCTGCACCATCGCGTTTTCATCAACGTACCATCGTGCCATCGCGCTGTCACCATTGTAACCATCGTGAACGGGATTAAGTATGTTTCAGTCTACGCCTTCAGGTTAAAGCCAATCAATTTCTTGAATTAGAGATATTTTAATTAACAGTTCACTTTAGGTTTTCATAAAGAAGGCATAAGCAAACCTATTGATGATTACACTTGACATGAGGTAAAACGGCGAACCTCGATTCTAAAAAAGAGTTTATGACGTGGGGAAATGTGTGACAAATAATTCATAAAAAATGACATGAGACAAATGTGCTTTCTTGTCCCTTAAAAACACATGAGACAAATGTGCTTTCTTGTCCCTTAAAAAACTTGATCGGAGCACATTTGTCACACAAATGAGTTTTTTGGGGTAGACATTTGAGGTCCCATTTGTCTCATGTGGGACATATGCGACCGCATCGGTCTTACGTAAGACAAATGTTCTCCGAGACAAATGTGCTCCTACACTGCTTGCTCTAGTTTTCCAAAATATTTCAAGAAAATCAAACTTTAGAAAAATATACCAATATTTTCAGAAAATTAAAAATAATTAAGATTCTTGTAATAATTTACATTTCATGTGTGACATCTTACCGCTTTTGTCGCAATTTTCACCATATTTCTACTGCAGTGTAATAGTTATTTTAACACATTTTATCCTCATTTTGGTAATTTGTCCCGATTATTAATGTCCATTGCAATGTGTAAATAACTTTCTTTGTACATTTGAAAACAATATACTTTTAAATACATTCATTTTTATGTATATTAGCATGGATCTGGAGGTATTCAGCTGAAAGTACTTTTTGCAGAAAAACGGAAACATCATGAAAAAAACGGATTATCTTACAATACAATACAAATACACAATAATTACAGGGAAGATCATTTGAAAATATTAAACAATGTTAAAGGCTTCCTTTAAAACAAAGCTTATCCTCTAGGCATTTCTGGATCACTCAAGGCAATTATTTTCTTACACACATGTACTATATTTCTACAATTGTTATAAGTTGATTCTTCTCTCCAAGGAATCATTAGGAATATATAGACATGTATTGTCGAATCATATATTATTAAAAAAAAGCATGCACATACACAAAATTTTATCATGTATTTGCTTTATTAGTTATAAAATGTATAAATAATTGTTGCCCTTGGGTGTGGCTTTTAATTCATATTTATAAAATGCCTGGTATCTTGGCTTTAAGAGTATATTTATCTCGTAAAAGACTTTGTTTTGTTGTTTGTAATTGCTTTTGTGTACAATGCAACGAAATCTCAATTGCAACTTTTTGACAATGTCCGTGTCTTCGGATTATTGATAATAGCTGTGATAGTCCGATTGACGAAATCTGTCTTCATGTTCCCCATTTATTTTGAACAGCTTGATCAGGAGTACAATCGAACTATCGTAGGCGGAAGTGCTCACACAGTGACACCTGGTGGCTATACCATAGGTGGAGGTCATAGTCCTATCTCAAGGTCATTAGGATATGCAGTTGACAATGTCCTTGAAGTGCAGGTAACCACCGATGTTTATTCAGTATTTTTTTTTAAAAAAAGATTTGTTTGGATATACTGAATATGTTTAATATAAAGAAAAGGTTTTATATCTTACGAGTAGTTTTAAATGACTCCCTAGTCTATCAAAGAATTAGTGAAAAATATATTAACCGTATGAAGAATGTTATGTAAGCAAGATCTCCATTACATTGCTAGGTCTATGTTATATGTATAGCAGTTCAAAAATATCACACCAGTTCCCATCCCTTATGTTTTCCATCCTGTTAAGAATTTTCATGGGGAAATCAGTAAGGGGAAACTACCAACATTTTGTACGTTTTTTTTCTTCTTTTTTTGCGTATTGTCTGTCCACGTTCTGCCTGGCATGGTTTCGTTTTGGCAAAAATAATCAGGATGTATGTTCCACTCGCAGTGCGGGACCGTTTAGCGTGTTTACTATCCACCTGGAGCTTGTATAACCAAATGTTAAAGTTTTCTGTATTTCACTGGCGGGAGACTTGAATTATAATTGGCGTGTGCATTATATTATAAAACAAATACCGTATTTAATTTTTTCTAAAATAAATCTTTTTTACTTGAAGATCTTCAATAAAGTATTTGCAAATATGAACTTGTTTCTTCTACGTGCGTATAAATTTTAACAATCAAATCATATATACCCACCTAATACGTAATTGTCTATAAAGATTGTCTTTTCAATCAATTTTAAAATGATAAAGGATAAACATTTAAATGAGTTAAACACAAAAACAGGCAATTCCTTCTGACGATTTGTTTCTTGACTAAACGCTTCTATATTTATGTCATTTAGGTCGTCCTAGCCGATGGTAGGATCGCAACGTGCGTAGAATCGAGATGTGAAATCGAAGATCTAGACGGTGACGTTGATTCAGACGACGGAGATTTATTTTGGGCATTACGTGGCGGTGGTGGGGGAACATTTGGCGTTGTTGTTTACTTTGTTTTCAAATTACACGCAATGCCAACTGCAATGGTTCGTGCAGACACATGGTTGCCTTTAAAAGTAGACACATACGGTCTCGATTACAGCGAGCGTATCCTGTCGGCGCTCGGGAACCTTATAACAACTATGCCTAGGGAATGGGGAGGATATTATTTAATTGGTAATGAAAAGAATTATTTCGAAGGTATTGAGATGACCGGGCGATTACAGTTAACGATGAACAAGTTTGCTCCTTGGGATGGCTCCGAAAATAGAATCTTCGAAGAATTTATTGGTATTGCCAAGGAGCTTCAAACCAATTTAACATTCACGAATTTAAGCAGTTTCTGGGAGTACGAGAAGAACATCTATGATCCACCTATAACTCGGGCTTACATGGTTAATACTTTACTTCAGCCGGAAAAGGTCAACGGAGAGCTGGTCAAAATGTTTCAAGAGGAACTGTTCACTAATATGGCAGGAATTTACTTTGGATGCACAGGAACATCGGTTGGGGGTAAGTACGTAAATGTGGCTACACCACGTGATATGTGACGTCATTTACAATGTATCGTGGTCAGCATATATGACCACGATTCTTATGAATATGTTAGTTTTTATCAATTGTTTATTACTTTTTATCTAACGGTTTTGAAGTGTATGCATGAGCAGATAACGAAACATTTAGTCTTAACGAGTATTCCAAGAAAATTGTATGCAGTCGCTTCCCATTGAAATCAAATCAAAGTGTGTCTTGAATAGTAAACATTGTAACTGTGTTTAACAGTTATTCTGGTATGAAGGTATGGCTATATAAATAATACTAAGACTAACAAATGACATAGATAATTTTTTGAAATCCTAAAATTAATATTCTACAAATATATGTGACTGTCAGGAAAAAGATTTAAGTAGGACCATCTAAAACAAGGAACACAAATGAACAACAACAAAAGAGAACAACAAAGACAAATATGATAACCAATCATTGTCCGACCGACCTATCAATTGATCCATCTGCACAAGGTTGACCTACGTCAGAACACACAGGATTCTTTCGATTTTCTCCTTTCATAACAAGGGATGGATTTCAAATCAAAATGGATCAATTATTATGTAGTCAAGTAAAACATACTTTACTACGTTTTTCTTTTGTTTGTAGTGTGGAATCGTCATGGAAAAATGAACTTAATAAAATGACTGACGTTTCCATATAGAACGATGATATTAGAAAATTCAAGCAGCCGTGCAATATAAACTTTCGTAAATCTTAACGTTCACATATGAATAAATGTAAACAGCGCTTCACGCTAATATATCGTGAAATTATTCAATTGGTTAAAAATTGATCACATACCCCTAATGATAATATACTTGTATGTGAAGCATAGCATAGCAAAGCAAAGCAAAGCGTAGCGTAGCGTAACGTAGCATAATGTGACGTATAGCATGACATAAAATCACATAAAAAAATAAAACACAATATGTCTTAGATATTAAATGTAATAATATTCCTAGCCATCACATATTATACAAACATATAATAGACAATTCAAGAAAATCTCCTATGTCTCAGAATAGTTTTTGGATCTGACCAGCATGTTTGCTTCGTAAATTTTAGAGAAAGGAGTTTACTTATTTAGTGTGGTGAATCGTTAAAGTGATTTTCTTGATAACTTTTTCCGAAATGACCAACTAAAAGGATAAACATTCAAACAAAGGGAACAATGGTAACAAGTCTATGCAAAAAAAATACAAGTATTGAGAATACCAGTGAAGGTAATCAAGTGCCAATTATACAACCGTATATGGGCCCCCAGCCTGGTTTTTTCCCACTACCAGGTCAGGCACCAACCCCGTTTTCTTTGTCCATATCGACACCATTCACAAATTAAACCGCCCCACCAGGACAACAATGGTATTATTGAAGCTATTCAAAAGAGATGAATACAAGATTAAAATCAATTGGGAACAAAATGTTGCAAAAATTGGGTCCTATCAAACAAGAACTTGACATACCTTAAAGACTCAGATGTTAAACAATCCATGGGATTTCAAACGTTGCTTTGACGAAAAAGCTATCCGAAATTGAAAGATCGTGTCAATTTAATAGTGAAATATTTGACCAAATTATTCGTTCTCGTGAGCAAACTGAAGCTGATCTGAACAATTTGAAACGCCAAAACTCAACAATAGAATCCGATATACGATCACTAGTATCAAAAAATGATGAGCTAGAAACACGTTGTTTAGATTTACAAACCAAACTTATGGAAAATGACCTTATTATTTTCGGTGTAATAGAGACCCGTCCTACTAACGAAAAGTGGAGTCCGAGAAAAAAAATGTTGAATCTACATTAACTGAAACATTGACCTCAAAACTAATAGACAATCCTGCAGTAAGTAGCAATAAGCTGGTGCAAGACGAAAATTTGAAATTTGAAAAAGTGTTTCGTGTGGGTAACCAGGTAAAAGCAAGAGAAACCGGAAGACCTAGGCCTATTATTGCACGTGTTATTTATATACCAACAGAATATTCAGATTTTTTAGTTGAGGACCCCTTTTTAGAGATACAGAACGATTATAGTAATTTTATTGATAAATATGACACATTTTGTCTATTTGGAGATTTCAATAACAGAACTAAATCTTTAGATGATTATATTATACTTGACACAGATTTTTTGAAAGTCAAAATTTAGAAGAACTTTGTTCAGAATAATAATATTGAGATGAGTATGTTCGACTCGGCAGTTAATGTTAAACGGACCCGTTATAAATAGTGACAAAACGTCTAACAATTATGGATCCCAATTACCTCGATTTTTTAAAACTTAATTGTCTAATACATTTTAAACAGGTAGGAACAAATATGGATATTCCGGGGAAACAAACGGGTGTAAAGGCACAAGTACTGTTGATTTATTTTTATCTGTAATTCAAACTGTTTTTAAGCAAAATTGTGTCTCTTAATGTGTTAGACTTTTGTCTCTTAATGTCAGACGTACAGAACCCTGTAGAACTTAACTTAAGCTTTAAATTGAGCAAATGTAGTATACAAATGGAGAACCCTACCGTAAAACTTTGGGATAAGCACTAAAACAAAATGAGGTTTTTTAAATAAGATAGAGTGTTAACTGAAATACAAAACATTAAATGAAGCAATTTAGATAACTTGAAGTCAATAAATAATTTTACTCAAGAAAATGCTGACCCTAATAACTGAAACCAATATCATCATTATTTCAAATACGTCCCCGTAAAATTTTTGGATATACAAAAAAAGATTATTAATAACAACAATAATAATAATGGTCAAACCTTGGTTGTGGGACCAAAGAATGCAAAAGGCTAGAAGAAATGGTCAAACTGCCAAAGCATTCTTAATAAATAAGAAAAAAAGAACCACAAAAGGAAAACTTGAACAAAATAAGGCAAGCGTTAAAAACAATTTATAAAATGAGAAAAAGAAAGTATAATGTTAAATTGCGAATCATAAAGGTAAAGACCCACGGAAAACCTATTGGAAATTTTTAAACAAAAAAACCAAAACAAAAATTGCGAGGCTGACTTAAACTGACCTTTGATAATTTATTTAAAAGTGGTAAATTTTAAAAAATGATGAAAGGGATGAAAATCAAAATAGTAGACCCAAATTCTACAAACGAATTGAATGAAAGTAACGAAGCAGATTAATGTTCCAATCATCAGACATTTGAAATTGAGCATGCAATCAAAACCCTTAAAAATTATAATAAAGCCAGTGGATATGACAATGTAGTAAATGAACACCTTAAAGGAACATTTCCATTAATGAAAAGAATATATGTTAAACTTTTTAACCTAATATTAAATACGGTATAAGTTCAGCTGAATCATGGGACTATTTGTATAAACAACCCAATATGATAATATCAAAGCAAAACAGAATGCGCTTGAATTTGTTTGGGTCTCAGAATGTCAGAAAATTTTTTTATGGTTGTGGAGCATTAAAAACCAATTTTGTTTTTGGTAAAGTATCAACCAATGCTGTTCAAGCGTTTTAATTAATTGTAGTAAATTGGGTAATAAGTACTTATTGCACCACTGATATTAATTGACTTAAAAACAATTGAAAAAAAAAAATGAGTTTGCCTTCGACTGGGGATTTGAACCCCAGACTCTCGCTCCTAAAGCGAGCGCAGCAAATTCCCTCGGCCACGGTGGAAGGTATACTTGGAAAGAAAACCCATATTTATTCTATATTAGGGTTTTGTAAACTCTTATTATTTCGGACGCTAAAACCTGTTGTTTAACACAGATGTAAATAATCATGGAGCTTACTATAAGCATGTATATCTATAAGAGAATAAAACAATATTAGAAATCTTTCGACCACATATTCGGGAACTATTTTGCTTGAAAATTATGCACCTGTCATTTGACCATCTTTACGCAGTGATCTCCCCTGAATTTTTCGGCGTTAGCGAACATGTAAAGGGAAATAACTGCTTCAAAAAAGCGGACTTCTTTCGGCATTTGCAATTAACAGCATCAGGGTCTGAAATTTCGCTACCATTACTTGTTTGGTCTGACGACCCAAACAAATAAAAACAAAGGGGACAAGTCTGACCCTGGAAATTATAGGCCTATAACTTTGTTAAGTTGTTTAGGTAAAGTTTTTACATGTATTTCAAATAAAAGAATAACTGATTATGTTAAATCTAATGAAATAATTAACAATGTACAGGCAGGTTTTAGAAAAGGATTTTCTTCCTCAGATCATTTATTTTTGTTTTGCAACACATTATTCATTATCGTTTAATAACAATGGAAAAAACGTTTTTTGCTACTTTATTGATCATAAACAAGCATTTGACAAACAGTTTGGAGAAATGGTTTATGGGAACGAACTGATAAACTCAAATATTAAGGAAAATGTTTACAGGTCAGTAATATCAAGTCATGTGTTAAGGGTAAAATTCTTGTGTTTTCTAATTTTTTTTTCCTTGTAATATAGGTGTACGCCAAGGAGAAAATTATCGCCATTGCTATTTTCACTATTTCTATACGATCTAGAATCGTATTTTTTTAAAATGATAGTAACGGTACATGGAATAACAGTGGGTAAACGGAAGTAATACAAATGAGCTTTTCAAGTCTTTTAAAATTATTTATATTACTCTATGCGGACGATGCGGTAATAATATCAGTAACAGCAGATGATTTACAAAAAGCATTAAATATATATGAAACAATACTGTGTGATACTTGGGAACTTAAGGTAAATACGATCAAGACAAAAATTCGTAGTTTTTTTCTAAAGGTAGACAACAAAATGAATAATTTTACTTTTAAAAACGAATCTATCGAGGTAGTTAATGAGTACAAATATCTTGGAATTTATTTTAGTAAATCAGGTTCTTTTCTAAAAAGTAAAAAAAACATGTCGCAAGCCAAGCTACAAGAGCCATGTATAGTTTAGTAAAAAATTCTAATAGTCTCAATCTTCCAAATTGATTTACAAATTGAATTTATTTAACAAAACAATTAAGCCAATTTTACTGTACGGTGTAGAAATTTGGGGATTTGGTAATCTCGACATTATTGAGCGAGTACAACTAAGGTATTTTAAAAATATTCTTAAATTAAAGAAAGTCAACAGCAAATTATTTTGTTTATGGAAGAAACCGGTTGTAATGCCTCTAGCTATTGACATCGAAGAAAGGATAATATCATTCTGGTCAAAATTATGTAATAACAACGGCGTTAACGTTACAAATAAATTGTCAATTCTTGTCTATAATAACTTACTACACTCAACAGCTGGTTTAAGTGAAAATTTGCTTAAAAAGAAATTTCCATGTTTTTTTAATGTCAAAACTATTTTAATCAAATGTGGTCTATCACAAGTGTGGTTCGACAACACATTTACAAACTCTGAGTGGTTCAAACTTTCTGTTAAACAAAAGTTAAAGATCTTTTTTTTAAAATGAGTGGTACTCTAAAATTGAAAATTCGAGTAACAATTTGTTTTACAGAGTAATCAAAAGAACTTTTGGATTTGAATCGTACTTGGTTAATTTAGATAGTTCATTACTGTACTTTTTTATTAAATTTCGAACAAGAAATCATCGATTTCCAATAGAAACGGGTAATTGGTCCAGTACTCCAATTAACCAAAGATTTTGTCCTAAATGTCAAAATAAAATTGGCGACGAATTTCATTATTTACTTGAATGTTGTCAAGTCAACGAAGAAAGAAAACGATTTTTGAAAAAAAAGTATATTATCAACGACCAAACATTTTTAACCTAGAAAATATTATGTGTACTAAAAACAAATCTGAATTTCTCAAATTGTTAAATGTATTATTCAAAAGATAAGAACTTAATTATTCACTGAAAATACTTACGTTATTTATATTACATTAGTTCTTAATTTGTAATTATTGATTAGCATGTTTTGTTTGTCACCTTTTATTTATTTTATTTATTGTAAATTCCTCAAATTTGCATGTATACATGTATTGAGAGAAATAAAGATTATGTTATGTTATGTTACGTTATGCTTAAATTCAATGACTGCAATAAAAATTATTAATTTCATTTTTTTTTTAATTTTAGGCAGAACCACAGACTTCTCCGTTGAATCGACTCCTCTCCATCCGGGTTACAGAACTGCTGTAACATGTTTGACATGCTTTGTCGCACTTGCAGACGCTCAGAGTCAATCATGGTTTGATCAATCTAAAGACGACGAACTACTCATCCCGAAAGCCGATGCTTTTAGTGTGAGACTTCAAAGATTTGGCAACGGAATGTACCTGAACGAGCCGACCAAAAACAACCTGAATTGGCGGGAAGATTTTTGGGGCGACCATTACACGAGATTATTGCAGATCAAGAAACGCTACGACCCGGAAAACTTTTTCACGTGTCATCATTGCGTCGGATCAGAAATCGGTGGGAAATCGACGACGCCATTGTCATCGTCTGCGTCGATCAGCAGAGTTAATATTTTTATGGCAACAATTCTCTTTGCACTCAAATATTTGATGTAGATTTCCTCTGCTGTTGATTTTTCTGTTACTTTATACACATGTTTTAACGTTATTAGTTATCCTTCATTTCAATAATATGAATAAAGCGAAAAATATTGAATTAAAAGCAATTACTGGCGTAATTTATATAACTTTAAAAACAATGTGCAATGCATTGTTTACAACATCTATGTTAGCTTCGAAATTGTTTGAATTTCAACTAGTAATAAGTAGTTTAAGTATATCTCTGAATAGTTTAATACATATACATTAAACTATATACTATTATACTATTGCTAAGTATAGGTCCATTCTTGCGCTAGTCGCTTTATCTGAAATTTACAAACACCATAATTCCTGGTACAATTTTATCATACTGCAAACAGTTATTCTATCAATTGTATATGTACAATGTAGAATGTCCTACGACGTTTTATTTCATTTCACTGATTTCTTACTCAGGTACTCAGATAGATTATATATTAGAGCAACTATATTATATTCTCTTGTTTAAAATTGTTTTCATACTAAAATATGTATGTCGAAGCCTAAATATTGCCCATTTTATTTTAACAAGTAACAGAAAAACGAGTTATATATTGAAAAGAATCTTATACTCTGATAATTCTAAATATGAGAATGGATGAGTGTCGTTTAATTTTTATTCATATATTAACCATTCAAATCTTCAACTAGTACATTTAAATATATATATATAGAACAAAAATGGTAAAAACAATAATGCGAAGTTTAGGCACGATAATATTAAATATTAAGAATATTTTTAAAACTGGTTTATTGCTGTTAATTTTATAGAGATATATATGTATTTAAGTTTTTATCCAATATATATGTAATTTTTATTGTGGTAACTTTCAATTACTTTATGTTTAAAAATAAATTTTATTTTAAAGCATGTTTATAATTAGATTCTTTTCAAAAATTTTGATGCTTTTAAAAAAACTGATATATAAAAAGGTATATACATTAGAGTGTCGCTCGTTTCGTTAGGCTTTGGAAGGAAACGATATGCGATCAGCTGTTAGTTATGGTACAGAAGTTTCTGGTTATATTAAGACTAGTGTTCCTTCATTTGTTGTTTGTTAATTTTCATTAAAGTTATCTGACGAATTTTGTAAGTCCAGTAAAATACATGTAGAACATTATATACGTACAAGGTTAAATGTTCATTAATTCCCTGTGGCATTTCAAGCAACTCTGCTAAATGAAAAAATATACCTCTAGACTGCAGAAATACATGTACTAGATAAGCTTTGTAACAGCCTAGCAACGTGGCAATCTGGAGTTGGAAGCCTATCAGCCCAAGCTAAATCTGTGATTATTGTCTGATATAAATCTATGTACACAACAAATCAGTCTACAATAAAATCAAACAAGCCCTTTCTTGATGATCTTAGTTCTCATTTATTTTACTTTTTTCTAATGATAAGCCATTTTATTAAGTCGATTGAGACAGTACTTAAAGATATACTATGCTCAAATTTTATTTTTAAAAATATTAATAATTGCTACACAGTCTCTTTGTATGTATAAAATAAACATGTTTTGAATTCATTGAAGGTGGATATGATATGTTTTAGACTCTACACACTATAATGATATGTGGTACCAATGAAGAATATTATAGTATCCATAAAAAAATAGGAGATTTTTTAGAAAAGAACGCATTTTTATTTGACCCGTAATAGGGTGAGGCTCCCGCATACAGTTTATTCATTATTTTATTCAAATTTAACATATTCAGTAAGAATTTCATGGATTTCAATGCATTTCTAAGATAAAAATATTTTACCAAAAGATGAGCATAGTATATCTTTAAGTGAATACTCCTTTTTTCTCCACATTATTCTTCTAGCCACATGAAAGAAAAATAAAGCCACACACAAGCTTACGGATAAATGACATCAGTTACATATTATTCCTGTAGTATTATCGTGTAAGTACAGAATAACACTCGGAGGGACAAAGCAAATCTGAACAAGCACCTTTAAAACAAGTGATTTTCTAGCTGGTTTTCTTAGACAAATAGGTCGAAGTGTTTCTTAACCCCTTATATGACTCACCTTACATGATCCATATATATTCGGAATCTGCTTGAAATGGCGCATCATATGAGCTTAAATTCAAATCTTGGTTGACAAAATCCGAAAGGATGTGCTTGATTGGCAAAATTCAATCATTGGTAGTCAAATTTAAAACAAATCAAAGGGCGAACGTAAAGTAAAAAAACAACAGTTATTGTTCTGTGGAGTTCGTAAATGGTTGCCTCTGTCACTTAAAACCTATTATTTCACCTTGTTTCTCATACAAAAAATGTTAAAGCCAATTCTATACAAAAATGTCATAATTGGTTCATACGATGTCTGTATTACACAGGCCTTTTGTGTTGCGGATTAGCCGATTACTTAATTTGAAGACAATGTCCCTAATCCAAGGTAACTAGCCTCTAAAGGCCAGCATTGCATGATCGGGTTTTGGATCGGCGATTTGTTCTTTCTAAATTTAAAGTACATGAATTTCGTAAAAGAAACAAAATTTTTGACAACCGTTAAAACACTATATCTCTGATTCCATTGCGGATTGATCATTGCATGAGTTGGGAGATTCTTCTCTACAGGAATATATGGCCAGGAATATATAGAACAAAGCTCTTACCTAAGAGAAATCGTCTCGAGGGCTAGTCTACACGAACTGTCAGGTGTGTAAGTCGTTTTTCCTAGCAGCACCCTGTCGTCAAAATATGTAAACCCTACAAAAATATAACCAATGTACGAGCATGTGGATATGACTTTTTTTATCATTATCCCTTTCCTTGTCACAATACGTAAATCTCCAATCAAATGTAACCAATCAATGGTTTTCTCGTAAACTGACTCAATCAATTTTCAAGTTTGCAATTTTCATATAAATTTGTTGTTTCATAATTTACTCGGGATCACTGCTTATCCATTTACTTTGCAACAACATGCATGGCAGCTGTAAAAGATTGTCCCGTATTTCACTTTAGTGTTGATATACTTTTCTCGTTTTTCGGGATCTGGATTCCAGCACATAAGTGTTGAAGAGTGATACAGTAAAGCGGTTGCTAGAGGACATGAGTGATGTTGTTCTTTTTTATTCATTATCTAACATAAGTAGACTCAATCAAATATGAGGACAAAGATTAACAAGAAAAAACCTGCCGAAAATAGATAAATATTTTAATTAATATTAATTAGGTTTATCGCATGCTTGGCAGAAAACTGTCCCCAGATTAAGGTACCTTGTTTTTTGTTGTTTTTTTTTAGATATTTTTGTTTGATACGTCGATAAATTATGTTAATTTTAGACCGTTTTTTTCTGGTGAAATACAAAAACAGTAAATAATCAGAGGTTTAAAAGATGGTATAAAAAGTACCAGCGTTTGAGTAGAGTCAAAGATGAAATAAAGATAATTGAAAAGGCACGAAGACTAACTCAATAGGAAATAGTAGAGACTAAAATAAAAGGTATGAAGACTTTCGTGCATGGCTTGATTTTTACACTTCATTTACATTGTGCATTTTATTTTTTACCATGCTCTTGCGTTGCGCATTCAAATGTATTCATTTTTTTAGACAACAGGTGGTTTGAAGAACCATGTATGCCAGCAACACGCGCGCTGTAAAATTAAGTAATTACTTTTTATTATTTTAAACCAATATTTAATGATATTTTACCATTCTCGTATCTCATATATAATTTGTAAGTGAAACATATGTGGCCGTTGTTTAACGGATGTTTATTGCAATAAAAAAAACGGCAAATCTAAGGCTTTCAGTACTGTACAAGCTGTAAATGCTCATCAACCAATAGGCCAAGAAAACCAATCCGTGACTGCAAAATAAAGTGTCAAATAGTTTTAACTATGAAATAGCAACTTATTATTTCCTATATTGCGTTATCATTAGTCAAATAACACTGTCCTTTTATCATTGTCACACATCTGAAATTGGTTTATCGCTGTCTACTTATAAAAAAACAAGGGATACTTTCTATAAACCTTTTTACGTCGCGAAAATTAGACATTTCTGATTAGTTGACTGTAAAAAGTAAAAAGTATAAATAGCCTTGTACAACAACAAAAAAACGAAAACAACAAAAGATGCCTTTATAGATTTGTGTCCAAGATTGCCATAAAAACATATGAAAAAGATGGCTTTTTTTAAGGAATTCCCTTTGCGACCACGTTGGACTTGAGCTAAAAGATGTAAAAAAAAAGTTGAAATATAAGAGGCTCATTAAATACTGCAAGAAACATTTAATTGTTGAAAATGTGCAACATTTCCCATAATTAAGGTGTAAGTGTTGCAACAAAAAAAACTAAAATGAATAAATGAAAGCATACCAATAAATGTAAAAAAAAACAATCGTAAATATAATCACTTTATAATTATCGATTATCAATGACTTAAACCACCTCCGCAATGAATAATTTGCCCCAACCCCCACCCCCACCCCAAAGAAATTTTACTTTTCGTGTCTAAATTCGCACCATCTGCGACATCATAGCTTTAATTTTGTGTTAAAAGTTATTATCTATTTGTGAACTGTGAACTAGCTATATCAGGTTGTGGTTAAATATGGACACGTACACATATATGTTATCTGTATACAACATATCTCAATGTACATGTACTCATTAAAGGGATCATATCTGCATTTAGATTTAAGCTGCCGTGTAACTTAATGATCTATGTAAAACCAGACGCTGCAGGTACATATAATTGGATAGTTTATAACACTAGATAAGGTAAGTTTTACATCAGTTTTACTTCACTTAATATAAAATTATTTTTATTACTCTTTACAGTTTTATTGAAGCGTTACATTGTTTGATGAATACATAGATCTACATAATTACACATAGAATGTTTCATCTTAAATCATTTGTTGTTGATGATGTTTATTTTCAAACGTCTATATACTCATGAAATACGTACACCAATTGAATGCTAATTAATGTTAAGTACTTACCGTTAAATAAAATCTTTGCGCTTTAAAGGAAAGATCACACATATTGAAGTTAAAAACACGGAACATACTGATATAAATGAACATAAAAGTGTAAATTATGTGATAAATAAGCTTGGCAAATAGGTAAACATATAAAAACATTGTGATATACAATTTTATAATTGATACGTTTAATAATTAAACAAGTATTATGCAATATATCAGAGACGATTATATTAAACATGTTCGTGACAAATGCATGGATTTTTTTAATCATATAATTTTTTTGTAAATATATACAGAATATACGGAATCTTTCATGATTTAGAGGTTTTTGACGCTAACGTGTTAATTTTACATTGACAAGTCATATTTTTCATCATGGTTTGAATCCCGCTAGTGATATATTACTATTTCCTGCTACATGCATTTATGTCTTAGGAGGTCAGTGGTCAGTTGCCTTTATCTACATTAAAAATGTTAGAAATGTGAGGCTATCCTTTATCATGGAACGATATTATTAAGCAAACTATAGCAATGTTGGTATATATAGTATACCATGCGTAAAATAAGTCTAAAACACTTTCTTTGAGATTTTTAAAATCTTATACAATCTATATATTCGTATGTCCAATTCAAAATAAAATAATAAATTCTACCGTATTTTTGATATCATTTTCAGCGCGCAAGGGGGTAAAGCTCGACCGTGTCTATGTATTATGCATTCATAAAAAACTACTTTTAAATGAAGAATCTTTTGGAAAAAAAACATTATGTTGTGTAAAGAAACAGGTTTTGAAAACATATTTCTCAAATGCCAAATACCGCTAAAATGCTATATCTTTTTATTTTTTGGCATCATTTTTATGACAATAATTTTTAGCAAGCAATGAAACTTGAACTTAAGGCCAAGGTCATATTATAGATATAAAGATCGCAATAATCTAAAATTGTCATGGAGTTTTCTCACAACATCTTTGTGTATCATATGATATCTTTTCTACTATTATGATTTTGCTTGTACTTATATATATATATATATATATATATATATATATATATATATATATATATATATATATATATATATATATATATATATATATATATATCAGCTTTTCACTTTACAAAAACATGTAATGTATCAAATAATTTACAAAACTGGTTAGTATTCAAAATTTCTAAATTTTCGTTTTTCCATATTGAATTCTGCTTAAGTCGGTGCTATAGGGCGTGGACGGTAACTTGTACTTTCCAGTACCGTCCATGAACAGGCTCAATCAAACCGAGCCTGCAACATTTTCAATTTTGCCGTATTGGGATTTTTTTAGGGATTCTGTTTTTTTCTCTATTATATCAATGCTGCTACTCTAGCTGTCAATCTAACTATGGAATGGAAAACACACATACAAATTGATACGCATGTGATTGTAATCTCTTTGTTGTAAAACTATTTTCCCTGTATTGATCATCGTCAAATCTTCAATAAATACAATTCAAGTACTTTGTTAAAACATGGTTATTTATTTCTACATTTATTTTCAATATTTTGAAATAATTATACGTATATGTGTTTATAAACATTTATTTATACTAATTTATTTATTTCGATTGTATTGGAAGTTTTAAGCTTATTGAAACAAACCAACCAACCAATCAACCAACCAACCAGTACTAAGCAAAGCGTGTAAAGTTTCTTGCTCTTGACGGGTTATTCACATATGTTCAACTGATATGAGAAAAATTCATTTCTTGACCGACAAACAAATTTTCTTTAGCCCAAAGTCCGACATATGTCATCTTTCAGAGGTTAAGGTGGTGAACAACCATGTGCCAGATATAGATCAAGTGAAAAAGAAAACAACTTTTTGTATGATCTAGGAGTGAACATGAATAGTATAATTTTTCTGAAAAACAGCATTCTATGATGAAAGAAGTCTTGTATCACAGGAAACCATGTGCTTTCTTCAGCGACTACCGATATTGAAAAAGCCAGACCTTGTCCCTATGAAATCGTACTTTATAGGCATCTTCCTTGAAGCAACAATCCTGAAGGAATCCATCTGGCATGTATGAAGAGGTGAGGCAGAACACAAGGCCCCAATCTCAAATGAAGCAGAATGAGGTTTCAGCTCGCTCACATACTCTCCAGCAACTTTTAAACATCTGATGGAAATATTCGTGGGCGACTTGCACCTTAGATACTATCTCATCTTTTATTTGAGATCCTAAGTTTTGCTTGTATGTGTTTTTAACATCAAAATCCTCTAAATGTTAGCTTTCTGAATGTGTGTTGTCTATCTCCGCCATGTGCTCAGTCAGTTTGGTATTTCCACAAACCCTTATACATTGTATAGACACCTGCTGTTACCAAATTATCCAAACCTACTTACGTCAGTTTCATGACTTTGTTGTCTTTTTTTATAGAAGGTATGGAGAGCCAATATACTTATGATTGAGTTACTAAAGAAACAAATAGTCTAGCTAGTAAGGGTACAAATGGGTCAAAGAAATGAGATGCTATTCCAGTTAAATCGGGATTTGGTGAAGCTAAAGACAAAGTTTTTGAAACATCTACATTATCTCATTCCCGGATTTAGCATATGCAAATTATGACCAGTTTTCCTGTTAAACACGACCTGCCTTTACAAAAATTAAGAGCGCATACATTTGATAATTACATACCATTCAGATGTCAAATCTTTCTAAAGCAAGTTATTCAGTTCAAAGATTGAAGGTTTGGCCTTTAAAATGGTCTGTGATGGAAAAGTTTCATGACAATATTTACATAAACAAATTTGTGGTGACAACTAATAACAACTCCTTAGCATACGTTAACGCTACAACAAAATCTTTATGCAGAAACAGAAGCCAGAAAGCAATAGATGACAGGCAGCTCTACACAATAAGTTAAAAAGCAAATAAACGCAATGTTAATGCAGATGTAACCTCAAAATGGTTAAAGCAATACGCAAAATTGAGAAAATAACAATCCCTAAAGAAAGCCCAACACGTCAAAATTGAAAATGTTACAGGCTAGGTTTGGTGCCTTCTGGGTTCCCTGCTTGAGTGTGTTGGGGTCTGCGTCCTGTGAACGTTGCCTTTACATTGTTGATCTTTATTCTTGTTTTTTTATTAAGCCTGTACATGGACAGCACTGTCAAATGCAGAATTCAACATTTAATCACGGTTATGGTGAAATTTAGAAACATCCGCAGATGTGTTCATACGGCGATTATCATAGCAGCAATACGTCTAGATGTTGAACTTTTATACCCTCTGTTAAATTGTGTTACCGCAAGAGGTATGACCTCTATAGCATCAGGGGCAGTGTTCTTAACATATTCCATTCCGTTTGAAAGGTTGAGAAAAGCTCAGATTCAGGATATGATAAGTGTCCAGGCCCATGAGATCATGAGAATTGGTTTCTGCTAAAATTTGCAAATATCACTTGCTATATATGATTTTCTGGTCCTCCTGGATCATTGATTCTAGCAATTTTAGGTGTTGAAAATTGAGTATTGTTCAAGCCGATGCTTAGGGGCGTGAGGGAGGTTGCACCTTTTCATTATCCCTCATTTACAGATGTACAGACTCATACAAACCGAGATGCAATTTCCGTGTTATTTTCTTGATTTTAGTGCTTCAGAGGGATCACTTTCTTTCAGATATTCCTACTGATGCCTGTCTGGATACCGATCTAGGAACGAAAGGTTTTATAACCCCACATGGTGCTTGAAAAAAAAACAATACCATCGATTAATGCATACCTATCGCGCAAGGAAACATGCAGCTTTGAATAAAGAGGCCTATGACAGAAATGCTAGGGTATCCAAGCTGGAATTGAATGAGAGAGTACTTGTCAAAGATGTTGAGGGCCTTAACAAACTGGTTGACCATTGGGAGTCAGTTCCGTTCATTGTCCAGGTTATCCAAAACACAAACATTCCAGTTTATTTGTTGCCTATTAGGAACCTTCTCAGTTACTTCCGTCTCCTCTTCATTACTTTGGTTGTATGTCCTGTCCTCCTAAAACACCTAAGCCTAAAAGGAAGCATTCAACAATTAGAAAAATCAACAGGAAGGTCTAACACACCTGCCAGCACGACAGAGACAACAAACTGAGTCCAACATTATTTCTTATCGTCGGTTCAACTGCATGTGTGTGTGGCGGCGTGGCCGAGTGGTGAACGCGTCGGACTAACAATTTAAGGATTGCTGACCGCGTGGGTTTAATCTCTGTCAGGTGCAAGCCGTTTATTTGTTGAGCAAGACATTTTACATTCATTGCTTAGTACTGGTTGGTTTCAGAAACGGATTCGAGAGTTTTTCAATAAGCTTATAGCTTCCAACACAATCGAACTAGATATATTTGTATAAACTAAACATGAAAATGCTGAAATTTGACTTTAGAACAAAGCCTATTTGCTTTCTACTTTATCCGTAGCTGAAAACAAGAATCAGTTATAATGGTCAGGGTCTAATTTTGATGTCAGGTTACGTGTTGCCAAAATATTTATCAGACAAGTGTTTCTGGATCTTTTCCTTGCTATATTCTAATTGATTGTTTTTATGTCCTGCTGTTTTTATTTGATTTGTTATGTACATTTAATGTGCATAAAATGCTTTATTTGCAGATAGACTCATTCGATATATTTGGTTATATTCATATTACATATTAAGTAGATATATTATTGAAAACAAATATGATAAAATGTAAAGTTACTGAATACTCAAGGTTACCGCATGGATGGGCATAGATGGGAACTTTAATAATCAATCAATGAAAACGGCCAG